ATTTTCCGAAACTGATATCCAGCGCTCTCTGGAAAGGTGGTGCCGAATGTGACGTTGCCGGTATGGGTATGAACGTGTTTAGATCTAAAAGCCTAGTGATTACTTGTGTTTCCGCCCGTTGCGCTCTGCTGCTCAACGGAATAGCCGTGGAGCAGGTGTAGAAATTTACATTGGTGATGGAAAATTTGAGGCGGAGATCGGGCCGGCGAATTGAAATAGTCAGTGGTGTTCTGGATAAACTAACTCGAGCCGTTGTGAGTAAAACATAGCTGAGTCTGAAGATTAAACTCTGTGTTCAAGTCGATCTTCATTGCGATGCTCACCTGTGGTCATGAATAATGTCATAGCTCATGACTGAAATAATTCACTCTCTGTTACAAACGCTTGAAATGGGCTTTCTAAGACTAATCGCCGGACTTATGCTTCTCGACATTGTTCGGGGTACATATGTCCGACAGAGCTTTGCTGGACAGCCATGTTTCTGCAGATTCAGAAATTACAACAGGGATGGCTTGGATATGTCCTTCAAATGCTTTCAGAAAGGAAGGCGAAACACTTACTACTTGCAAACCGCTAGAAACTTCGGTCCTGACCGAAAATAAAATGGACAAAGTGTCTCAAAGGACTCTACTTCAAATTCTGATTGTTTTCTGTTGCAACCTTCGGCAGATCCTGCTGAAAACCATGTTATCAGTATTTTCAGTGATCACACATTTACGCCGAGAATTAAAATTGTGGCACGGCTTAACCTTCAGAAATGTTACAAAGTTTTCCTTTGAAGGTGGGGTAAGAAATCCCTTTTTCTTTTGAAGATCTAATTGTACGGATTGACGAAATTTATGGTTTTAGATCTTTACCAAGATTTTCACTTCATATTTGCATGGCACTGTTTGATATGTCGTAATCTTATAAGTTGGCTCTTCTATCGAACGTTTTCTTTTCTTTTTGGCGTAGGATTTTTATTTCTATGGTTTAGGTGCTTGAAGCGCTTTGGTGCTGCTGATCAAGATGCCGATGACATGTGCCTGTTATGCTTTGAACAACCGCTAGGAGCCGCTCCAATGATTCGCCTTTCCTGTGGTCACTTCGTACATTACCACTGCTGTGAGAATTCGCTGAAACAGCGACTGCGTTGTTCAGTGATATCATCTAGTGTTGTTCCCTGCCCCGTGTGTCATGCAGCGATGGATCATCCTCTTCTAAAACGGTTGCTACAATCGTTGCCAAGGGTAATCTAGAATCTGGGGAAGGAGCAGTCGAGAAAACGATGGAGAACGACTTGGGTGAAAAATGCTTAATCACGTTACAAGTACTTAGACAGACCCGCAAATTCGTTATGTAAAAATTTGCTTATTTTCATTGTAGTTATTTCGGTTTTAAGTAGGATACGATTCAGAAGCGGTTGTGCGACTAATCGAATTTTGCTAAGACCGTTGTCCAGTAAATTCACTAGCCCATCTTTCTTCTCTAACGTGTAAATGAGAACTTTCTATTCGTGAAGTTAGTGTGAGGGTACATCCGGCAGCTGCCATTAAGCTTCAGGGTGCCCACCTGAAAATGTTTATCCCCTCGGCCGCAGTAGACAGTGTAGACAGTATTAGACAATAGACAGTATTACTCTGCTATGGCGTACTGTTGTTATTCTTATTTAAGGGCATTCTTCATTCACAAGTGATAACATCTTTGGTGATTATTATCTGCTGTTGAACCTTTGTCTTTAAAGTCAGTTAGTTCCTAATTTTTACCATATTTGCGTTGTAAACTGCTAACAGTTTCATATTATAGCCATGCTGTGTATCAGTGTTTTGTATTTTGTTAGTAAAGTTTCACTGCATGGACATTCTGTCAACCAGAATTCAACAAGGCATTATGTACCATTTCATTTACAACACTTTTTTCATAGCTCCTCACCCTGTTTTGCCATTTTAACCGTGCCATCTTCTGGTATATCAGCTGTATCCTCTAGTATATCTTAGGTTAGATTCTTAAGATGTAGCCTCCGAACATGTACTCTATTTCCATCGGGTGCATATTTTAAATGCTCTTCATCCAGTACATGTCCAGGGTTTTGCTGTTCGCCTGTGTCTTCATATTTTCTTCTGTTAAATTAACCTAAGCAACTTTGAATTTTATAGTACTGATTACTCGTCATAATCGTTATTAGGTACGTATTATATCATTCGCAATCAGTCTTAATCTGGTTATAGATTAGTTACTGATTATTGCTCAAAATATAAATTTTTAAGCAAATGATTCATTGTTAAACTTGACATGTCAAATGCTACGGTGAATTCCAAATAAGCATATACCGTTACCCCTCCAATTTACTACGGCAGTGCCGGGGTCGGGCTGGTTTGAGCGAATGCATATACGCATGTGAGCATGCATTTAGAATTGCAGAAATTTCACACGAGATCATTTTATCCACTATATGCTGAAGGAAAAAGCAAAAGAATTGAACTCTTATCTATGTATCGTACGTTCTAACAATTGTAAATGAAATTGTTCTTCAAATGAAATATGGTACGGAATATTCATATGCTAGGAATCCGAAACCGCCGCAGAAACGTTGGAGGAAACAGACGAAGGCTCATCTTGGCTGATTTATGCCGTAGCGGGTAGGATTACTGTGTATATGATTTAATGAGAATGACACCCTAAAATTATTTATATCTATTCTCCTGTTGGCATAGTAGAAAATGACTTTCATGCTTTTAAGTTTATTTTTGAATAAGTGAATTATTAGTAGGTCATTGGGTACTACAGCTGTATAGTGGTGGGTCAGACAACATTCTTATAAATCTCCAAAACTCTGGCATAATGCATGAATGTTATGCTCTCCCTAGTGTTCTCAAGTCAGTGTCTTGCTACCCGTTTCTCCGTTGACTGCATCATATCACAGTGGTTCAAATTCTTCACCAACGAAAACTTGTATGATAAGAAAAGAGTGTTTGCTGGTCACGAAATAAAACCCCTTATCCCTTGCGTGTATTTCTGAACGATTTTCCATCCCCGTTTTCTTCCAAGACCACAACCTTTACGAAACAATGGTGATAAGCGGACTATGCGTGTAACTGTAAACGAAATCTACATCTCTATGGTTTACAAGCTTTACTGTCCCCTTTCTCAGAATTCTGGAATTTCACGTAAATATGTAAATGCTGCCTAGACTTGCTTTTTTAACTTTTGGCCCTTGTAATTTGCCGCGCAATAGTAAGTTTCTCTTTCTCTTAAACCGCATACTTCTCTGTGAATATATGCACATGCAAGCCGTATGTCACTTCTACAGCAGTGGTTCTTCTGATGAATTTCATATGTGCTGGATCCGTTTGCCGCCGAGCATATTTAGTCTTTATGAAAATCTGACGAGCGTGAAGTCTTCCTCAGAACTTTACTCGTGATTATGTGTAACCTTTTTTTTACACTTTTGTACAGAAAACGCGTACGCCAGGATGTCTGAACCGTGAAGGGCGTGAATATTTTCCAGTGGTATCCTTCATCGCGCGGAAACTGCATGAAGAATTATATTTTAAGGTAAAATGATACGTTTCCTGAAGGGCTTTTAGTCTGTTTTACGACAATTGTTATTTTGTACAGCTTTCTAATTTGCATTGTTTTTTGTTATACTGCTGATATTTTGGAATTGTTTTTGCTAAACTGTCTGTTCAAAGTTGCTGTCAGCTATATGAAGTGCAGAATAATTTCCCCTATGGCGATTTTTGTCTTCATGCTCGCAAACATTCGTCTGCTGAGTAAGAAGTTCATGCCGCATCAACTGACGCTGCTACCTGCCGACTAATTTTTATGTTCGTACTTTAAATTTCATCCACCGGAACATACCACTTGTGGAACCCATGGGAGTTACGATAAAGAATAAAAGCCGTCAATATGCAAGTAACGAAGAATTGTTTCTATAGAGAAATCTTCAACGAGTTCGGCTTTTTAGCAACGCAGAAAGTAAGCGAAAAAAAATTTATAACTGTGATAAATGCCCCCCCCCCATCACATTGAATCAGCAGGCTATTGATAAAACTGATTCATTCATCAGTAGGATTGGTACCTACGGGCAACATGAACGAAGTAGCTTGGTTCAGAAGAGGTCAAATGCGCTGAGAACAATGTACTGTATTTTCGATGTAAACAACTATGAGCAAGATATATATATATATGCATAAAGTTTAATTATTGGTTGAAACAATCGATAATAAAAACGATTTCAGCACAGAAATACAATCGTCATTAAATGAATGAAACTCAGTTAAGCTGGAAGAAAAGGATAAACTTCTTTGGGAAACACGGCTTACATATTTATGGAACATCTTACAGAAAACCGAGATTACTTGTAAATTTCATATTCAAGCGAAGGAATAATACACGATAATTCAAAGAAATTTCCAATTTGCAAAATAATATATAAATAATGTTCAGTTTTCAGTTTCTTGGAGTTCAACTTCAAATAAATCAAAAATTTAGATAAAGCAACTAATGATAATGCCGAAGTAGATCAAATACTCTACAGGTCAAGGTAAGAAATATAACTTAAAAGCGAAACGGAGAGTAGTATGATCAGGAGTTTTACAATTAAGCGTCAAACGTGGAATGTTCCATATTCCTCACGATAAATTTAGGTGATTGGAAACAAAAATGACACTGTAGCATTTAACTGAAACGTAACTGGTAGGTGGCATAGGGATTCTGGCGGTATGCCGCTATCGTCAGTTTTGTAATTTGAATTTCTTGATCAATGTGTTGCATCATCAAGCGAAATCTCTGCGGCTCGCGCTGTATGATTTCTTTTATCCAAATCAGCTCCAACAAGTATCGGAAGAGCCTATCTTCTTCAGCATCGACATCGTACATGAAGCAAAGCTCGTTTTCTGAGGATGTACCAACTGCTTGACGTTCGTCCGAATCGAATTCATTGGACATATCGTTTGCCATTCCTTCGCACCCATCCATTTCACAGTCTCTAAATCAGTCAAGGCTTAGGACGAAATTTTAAGAAAGTGAACGACATTGAAAACAAAACCCGTCTTTCACGATTATCAAGTAAATCTCTAGTAACACGTAGAAACGATGTAATGGCGTACGCCCGCCAAAATCAAATCGATTTTGCGAACTGCCGCGTTAAAACATTTTGAATGAAATCTTCAGGTAGAAATATACGACAAGCTTATATCAAAATTGCCTTAATCTACCGTAAAAAACTTAAAAAGAATAAATTTCTGTGGTGACCACAGCGAGTCCAAAATCCATTATGTTCCTATGACATTATCTGAATACATAAAAATTAACTATTTATTTTTCACAAAAATGTTCTGCTGAAAAACATCATTTGTGCAAATCAATATGAAAAAGTCAGGAATGAGTCTTTCTAGCGTAATAAGCTTACCGAATCTGATGCTATGATGGTTTTTCAACGCCCTGTAATAATTTGCAAAGATTTTACAGGAAGAAAAATAGAGGTAGGGTCAATTTAACGACGTATTGCAGAAACTGTGCTCTTCTATACAAATTAGATTTTCATTCTTGATAATTTCTTAACAAAATCTTTTGTTCAACTTTTTCGACTTTAATTTCCTTCGTCCATTTGTTTTCTTCCGCATTATTCATTGATACCAAGCATACGTATTCTTTTCGGTTTCGCATTTTCCCCTATTTTATAGTATTATTTCTTTTGAACGCCTTAACGTTATTACGTATACAGCGTTTTGATCTCTGATTACTTCGATCGTGACTCCTTCCAATGTGTTTCAATATGAATATCATCTGAAGAAGAAGCACCGAATCCGGCTCCTAAAGATCTGTCCGCCAAAACGAAACAAAGCCATAATCTTTGAACCAGTTCTTATTGATTGATTACTGCTAAAACGCTAGATACTTTGCACTAGATATTCATCCACTTTAATGCTCTTATTGCAACTTTTCAGAAAATCATAAAAACTAGTGACTTTCGACTTCAGAACAGAAAGGCAATGAGAACTCTAAACCTTATTCAGGATAAAAACAGAGGTAATGGCAGAGTGCTAGTTTCCGGGCAACGTTTAAATCCGTTGTCAAGAATCGTATTATCAGAACCTGATGATTAATACGTCTTCAACGATTCTGTTTTGGCAATATCTTTCGCT